TTCCCTCAGATCCGGCGCATATAATCCAGATCCGATATCTCCGCCCACGTGCCCACCTTCTCCACATTTAATCGCGCAGATGGTTATGTCACATCCACTGACACCATGTCGCGCAGCAACGGCAGCTCCCGAGAAGACCGCCTCAAAAGACGCGCCGTTGTCAGCCGATGGAAGGGAAATACCCCCCCGATTCCTTTTCGAGCTAAGGAACCGCACACCGAGCCCTTCTGGTCTAGAGGTTCGAAGGCTGGGCCATTTATGGTCTCGACAGCCGCCTCAGGACGACAGAGTCAGGGACAACTATGAGCGAGCCCGTACATGGCCGAGGCCCAGGCAAGCGATTGCTTGGGATGCCCTAAGTCATGTCCGAGACCAGCAGGAGTTCTCTAAAGGGGATCCCACCATAGGGAGGCACCGAGCCCCTAGGGCCAATCGAACAGCCCTAGCACCCGCTGAGAAGCCTTCTAGTACTTTTTTGGAGCGCGTCTCTGGACCACTAGCCGACCCCTATCGAATGGGGCACGGGCCTCCACTCGGACTTACCCGATAAAAGCTCACCGGAAATGTCACCACTCGCGCCCACCGAGGGTAGCCTGGCATGTTCCACCCCTCCTTCCGAGCGAAAAGGAAGCGCGAGGGTCGTACAAAAAGCCAGGGGAACTCCTAATCGCCCTCTCGTTACGTGCGGAGGCTCGGGGGCTCTTCCTGCAACCTTGCCGAGACCCAACGGCCTAGGCTCGCACGCGAAGGGCTCGGCAAACAACCTCTCCTTCTGAGCGAAAAGGATGCGCGAGGGTCGTACAAAAAGCCAGGAGAACTCCTGATCGCCCTCTCGCTACGTGCGGAGGCTTGGGGGCTCTTCCTGCAACCTTGCCGAGACCCAGCGGCCTAAGCTCGCACGCGAAGGGCTCGGCAAACAACCCCTCCTTCCGAGCAAAAAAAAGGATGCGCGAGGGTCGTACAAAAAGCCGGGGAACTCCCGATCGCCCTCTCGCTACGTGCAGAGGCTCGGGGGCTCTTCCTGCAACCTTGCCGAGACCCAGCGACCTAGGCTCGCACGCGAAGGGCTCGGCAAACAACCCCTCCTTCCGAGCGAAAAGGATGCGCGAGGGTCGTACAAAAAGTCAGGGGAACTCCTGATCGCCCTCTCGCTACGTGCGGAGGCTCGGGGGGCTCTTCCTGCAACCTTGCCGAGACCCAGCGGCCTAGGCTCGCGCGCCAAGGGCTCGGCAAACAACCCCTCCTTCCGAGCGAAAAGGATGCGCGAGGGTTGCACAAAAAGCCAGGGGAACTCCTGATCGCCCTCTCGCTCCGCGCGGGGGCTCGGGGGCTCTTCCTGCAACCTCTCACACCCCGAGGGTCGGAAAAACGCGAACGAAAAAGGGACCAAGCCCATTACGGTCCAGAGGTTCAAAGGCTGGGCCATTTATGGTCTCGACAGCCGCCTCAGGACGACAGAGTCAGGGACAACTATGGGCGAGCCCGTACATGGCCGAGGCCCAGGAAAGCGATTGCTTGGGATGCCCTAAGTCATGTCCGAGACCAGCAGGAGTTCTCTAAAGGGGATCCCACCGTAGGGGGGCACCGAGCCCCTAGGGCCAATCGAACAGCCCTGGCACCCGCTAGAGAAACCTTCTGGTACTTTTTTGGAGCGCGTCTCTGGACCACTAGCCGACCCCTATCGAATGGGGCACGGGCCTCCACTCGGACTTACCCGATAAAAGCTCACCGGAAATGTCACCGCTCGCGCCCACCGAGGGTAGCCTGGCATGTTCCACCCCTCCTTCCGATCGAAAAGGAAGCGCGAGGGTCGTACAAAAAGCCAGGGGAACTCCTGATCGCCCTCTCGCTCCGCGCGGAGGCTCTGGGGCTCTTCCTGCAACCTTGCCGAGACCCAGCGGCCTAGGCTCGCACGCGAAGGGCTCGGCAAACAACCCCTCCTTCCGAGCGAAAAGGATGCGCGAGGGTCGCACAAAAAGCCAGGGGAACTCCTGATCGCCCTCTCGCTACGTGCGGAGGCTCGAGGGCTATTCCTGCAAAGTTGCCGAGACCCAGCGGCCCAGGCTCGCACGCGAAGGGCTCGGCAAACAACCCCTCATTCCGAACAAAAAGGATGCGCGGGGGTCGTACAAAAAGCCAGGAGAACTCCTGACCGCCCTCTCGCTCCGTGCGGAGGCTCGGGGGCTCTTCCTGCAAGCCTTGCCGAGACCCAGCGACCTAGGACTGCATGCGAGGGCTCGGTAGGCTCGGGTGCTCCTCCTGCACCCCAAACAAGCGACCCGAGCCCGCTCTCATGGGTCAAGCAAATGCGATAGTGCGCCTTACTCAACGAAGAAAAAGCCCCTAAAAGGAGTAAACTCACTCCTCTAGGGCCTCGGGGGCTACACCCGGTGGGTGCGCTCGCGCGCACCCACCGGAATCACGAGTATAAAACAAAAGCCACGGAGAAACAAAAGTCTCGAAAAAACCTCGGGGAGAGTACCCCACACTCCCGCCCGAGGCTCGAGGGCTACTGTCGGATACCAGAAAATGGGGTACCCCAAGCAAAGATCGAAAAACTGCTTAGACCCTAAAAATAGAACCAACGGAATAAACAAACGAGGTCTCGGCCGAAATCTCCGATTCGCCCGAGACCCCGTCGCCGAGCCCCAGCGGAAGCAAACGATTCTCCGACTCACCCGAGACCGCCTCGCCGAGCCCCCCGCGTCAAGGCCCCCTCGCCCGAGGCCTCGGAAGAAGTGCCGATTCTCCGATTCACGCGAGGCCGGCTCGGCACCAACCCCGTGACCGCCTTTTTGACCAAACCGCTCTGACCGAACGTCGCATCCAAGCGCCCAACCACTCCGACAGACGCTTGCGATGGCACAAGACAAATAGCGGATCACCGACTACTACGCCGGTCGCGTCAACCTCCCGCCATCCATCTGCGACGGCGACAGTAGGGTTACCGACCACATCTTGGCCGCCTACTCTCACGCACCAAGGACATCGCAACGTGGGGAGTCGAGCGGGTTCCTCAGAGCCTCGGAATCAGCGGACCGACCGCTCCGTCCCGCCCGAGCCCCCTCGACAGGGCCTCGGATTCACTAATCTTACTCCGCCTCGCCCCGAGACCCCCCGGTAGGGCCTCGGATGAATTGGCCGCGCTCCGCCTCGCCCGAGGCCGGGCTCGTCCCGCAACCTCGTCGCCTCCGTCTCAAAAGTCTCTCCGCGGTCGTCGCATCCGATTAATCGCGCCACCGCACCCGCTTCGTAAGCCAGCCACGATCGGCGGTCTTGGCTGCAAGCAGGAGCGACGGGACAACGGTCAGATCACCTTTTCTACCATCCCTTCATCGACAAATCAGGTACCGTAGATCCCGTCAGGGGCGCCGTCTCGCACTATTCCGTCTGATGGCTGCTGAGACCCGCATCTGCGCTTGGGTCACTTCTCAGGCCTCGGCACGGCAGGCCTCGGCACAACAGGCCTCGGCACGACAGGCCTCGGCACGACCGGCTACGATGGCCGCCGGGCCTCTGCGATCCACCAAGTCAACAAATGCGTAGCATGTTACTTGCAGTGGAGACCATACCGATTAAACATCTACAGGAACTCCCACGACAACGCCATGCTGCTTCAGGAGTAGATACGTCATCGAATAGTCCTTGCTCCACGTATAGCTCTCTTATGTACTCCTGGTTTCCTCCCTGCGGCTATAAAAGGAGGCAGCCAGGACCGTTTCTGAAAACGACAGATAGGGTCACGAACACTCGCACGAACAACGCGCCGCATTCTGTAATTCATATCACCTCCCCTCACAGAGACTTGGGACGAACTCCCTCTCTCGCCTAGCTTAACCCCCTACTACGAGCACCCCGGTGCAAGGAATACAAGAACATCTTCTCAGACTGGACGTAGGGTATTCATTGCTCGAACCAGTATAAACCTTGTGTCTCTTTGCATCTCTATCCGGAATTGGGAGCACGTAGCACAAATTCACTAGTCGGTTAAGGACCCCCGGTTCCGAAACACCGACAAGTGGCCAACACTGTTTGTTGTACTGACTGGGGAGGTGAGAGGGGCTGAGACTGAAATGGATAGGCCACTGGTTAGAGTTAGACATACGCCATCACACCGGTCACTGTACTAATCCACTTCCGTTAGACTTGATGGTATTAGTAATTAATAAGCATTGTAGCTTTCCCCATGAAACATTTGGAGACAGATATGGTAACAATAACAATGATTACTTGATCATATAGGGCAATCAATCAGTTCAACCCAGAATGCTAAAAACTTGCATGTATACCCCTTTTGTTTCTCTGAAAGCGGAGAGATGACATCTGCCTGGCTAAAAAAAACACATAAACGATGAATAATTTTCATTGAAGTGCTTGTATTTGTATTAGTCCTGTTCATTCTAATTCCTAATTCCCTTTGTGTAGCCTTCCCCCCACGGCATAACTAGGGAGAGAAATAAACTTTGAGGAGATGTTTATGCTCAAATAGGCCAATCAGATTTGTTTTTGCATGTCCAATGCTTAGTACTCCTACGAGTAGTTACCACACGAGGATAACCTCCATTGATTCTTTCTTGCATCCATGGTCCACTTTCCCTCCTTGGGAAACAACAGCTTTCAAAACATGATGGTGTCCATGGAATTTCAGAACATGGTGATAGTCTGAAGCAAAGTTACTTACTGGAATTTCAGAACCTGTAACGCCAATGCGATTTCTTTTATTCATTCAAGCTCTATCTGCTGAAGCCTGAATTACATGAATGAAGCTACGGTTATACACGAATATATTCCTTCTCTAGTTCTCTTGAGAGGAAAGAAACAGAGCTACTGCAAGGGAAACGAAAAGGAAAACAAGACAAAGGCCTCTTTGCTAGATTTTTCAGAGCTGCATGTCTGTATGAAATGAAATGACGGCCAGTTCAGAAAGTAAATCTTAATCTCTGAACTGAACAACTACGGATACATCCATCCAGGGCAGCAACTACGAGCGTCCGAGCGAGTCACTGCAAAAGCACCAAGAAAGCAGATAACACAGCGAGCAGCGGCAGCCATGCCACCGCGCCGCTGACGGGGCACGCCCCCGACGGCAAGAACCCCGGATCCTGAGGGAACACCGCCACCGGGGACGACGTCGACGGCGGCGGCGGCTGCGGCGGCGACCAGGGGAACGGCCCCGTGGAGACCCTGGCCGGCCGCGCCGGGCAGAACGGGAACGGCGACGCGGTCCCCGGCGGCGACGGCGGCAAGAATGTCGAGTCGTCGTCGTCCGCGACGCAGGCGGCCGACCACAGCAGCACCGCCGCGGCCAGCAGGATTATTCGCCGGAGAGCTGGCGGCATCTTCTCGCTTCACTCGTCCAAGCTTTGCTTGGTCAGTGGCGATGAGGCTGTACCAGAGTGTAGATGAGGATGACGTCATTAATCCGGCGTATCAATGGCTAAATAGTCTGGAGACGCGAAAGCCGACGGGGACTCGTTTGTAGCCGTCCGATGCCGATCCAACGGCGGTCAGTGGCGTTGATGCCGCTCCTCTTCCTTTCCCCTCCCATTCCGGGCTGCTGTGCTGTTCATGAGTAATGAAAGCTCTGTCAGAAATCAGAATATGCTCACAATTACGAAGGTTAGATGATTAATCTGATGGTAATTTTTCTAGTTGACCTCTAGTTAGTATGGGAGGCTGTGATGAAATGGAGTGTCGGTGCCGCGTCTCGTTGCAACGGTACAAACCTTCCTGCTGTTGATAGGGTTGGGACCTTGGACAATGTTAACTGACAGCGACGATCACGATTGACATCCATGGACCCGAGTGCTGAACAGGGTTAGAATTCACGTTAGCGAGCTAATGCCTGATGGAGGTGTTAAGCTGAAGTACTCGGAGATCAAACAAGGAGGGGAGACAGCCTACCAAATGTCAATTGTGCTTGTCCTTTTTAGAGAGAGAACAGAAGCATAGCTTCAGTTAATGACCTGCAATAAAAAGCAGCTATCCTCTCTAATCTTCATTTAATGAATGTACAAAGCTGATGTGTTTCATGAGAACTCCTTTCCAAGATGGCTAGATCACTTCAGAACCAAGGGACTGATAAGTCAGCATTGTTCAACTGCTCTGAATCAGCTGAATCATGTAAACAAGATACCAGTCAGTCGGTGGCATGGCAATTACAAGTAGAGAGTCAGTGGCTTTTGCTTGACTACTCATCTGCAGCTCCGGTCGTCTCAAAGTGGAGTCCTTTTTTTTTTTCTCTTCTAAATTCTAATCATGTATCCATGATACTGAAACAAAGCTAGCGAAAAGTGGCAGATGAGGAAATCAGGTTACTGTGACCCTGCAGGACCCTACTGTGAGAGAACTGGTTGGTTGTGATGTAAGGCACACTGATTTAAACCCCACGAACCAAAGAAATTTGCAGGAGCTTTTGGAGCATTCGCAAGAGGGTACAAGGGAAAGCAGGCCTTGGATGGGGACTGGCCACCAGCAGCAGCACTCATGGATGGCGTGCATTAGTGCATCACAACGCTGACCGGTCTGGTCTGGGGCACATATGGCTGGCTGGGAGACGATCAGCCTGTTCGCTTGTTGATTTCAGTCAGGGCTTATCAGTCAGCCAACAATGTTTCTCTCTCACAACAAACCAGCACCAGCTGGGCTTATCAGCCTAGAAACCAACCAGTGAACAGGCTGTATGTCTTAAATCCCAGGTTAAGGCATCTAGCGGATGGCCTCTCAAACAGCTAATAGCAAAACTAAATAGGACTGGACGATAAATTATACATGGACACAAATAGCTTGTCTTAAAGAGCTATAATGGCTATAGCGGTAGATTTAGAACCTTTCTTGGAGACCGAGGGTGTTGAAGGAGGAGGAAAATTCCATCCAAGAGAGTACTTGTACTTGATTGAATGAAATGAATAATACACGCAACAGGGTTGGGCTGGAAAAGCCAAGTGGGCAACAACCTCTTCCTCTGTTCCACTGGAAAGTAGCAGCAAGCATATCTGGTGATGCTCCCCTAGCCTTACCCTATCCTTCCAATCCAGGATAGACAGGGGCATGTATGATGTGTGGGTGCCCCTTATCTTTGCATTCAGGCAAAGCGATTTTTCCTCTTTTTTATATATTTTTTTTGGCAAATGTGTGCAAATATGCAATGCAGTGCTTTTATTTCAATATACATTCAGTAAATGGTACTACAAACGCATATGCTACAGATCTTTATGGAGTGCTTTTCAATTACCATCCTTTCGTTTCCTTTTGGACTATATAAATGGAGTGTCAGGGCACGCAAACGTGAAACATGTGGGTCTTTTTTTCTCTCTCTCCTCTTCGAATCGAATGCCTGTCTAGTCATATGCCAATGCAAGGACATGACAGGGGAGTTCTAGCGGCCAATTCTTCAGTTTCTGGGCACCCGTCCAACATACAAGTAACAGTAAAACTTGGAGAGAGGGTGGATGTGCAGGTAGCATACAAGTAACTGAAGATTTCTATCACAGGTCGTGGTCGAGTGTCTTTTCACCCGTTCTCTTGTGAAGCTGTTTCATGACTGAACCAGCCGTATCTCTTGTGCGGTGCAGTTCATGTTCCTCCTCGCCGGTGGAATCCCGTAGACCATTCCTCGATCAGACTTTCACTCGAGTAGCTGTTGTGTTTCTCGAGAGCTCCTTTGTTTTTCCTAGTAGACGTTTGTTGCTAGTGCGGTGGGCGTTGGCTGTGACGTCACGTCGAAGAAATGATGGAGCATGGTGCAGGGATCTCCATCCAAGTACCACTGCTACGGAAACAGCACTGAAATTGTCTGAAAACGAAGAGGAGAAACGGTCGGTTTTTACCCAGAGGCTCGGAGCGTTATATGGTCCAGGCACGAAGGCTTGCAGAAAAAAAGCGAGCAAGAAAGTTAACCCCACATGGAGCGATCCAAAGCTCTCTGCTATCCGAAGTTCCGACATGGTTGGTGCATCGTAGTCAAGTTTTCAAGGTTGCAACTGCTTTCATGGCGACCAAAGTTTCAGTCAGAGAGGGCGTGCGATTTCGAAGACCTCGAGCAAATCAAGACTGGCTTGGACTGGGCTTGGACAAAGGTCACCGAGCCCCCCAAAAATATGGTGCACCACGATCCACAAAGCTAAAAAAAAACGCTGTGACCTTCCTCAATTATTGTTTTGTGGTCCGATTTATCTTCTCAAACTTAAAAACTAGATGTTTTGATTCCTTCCACTATTAAGGCCCCGTTCGCTGGTCTGAACTTTGGCTGAAACTGGCTGAAAAACACTGTTCCGGCTGAATTGCTGTGAGAGAAAAACACCGTTCCGGCTGAAAAAATAAGCCGAACAAGCCAAATTTAAGACAAACGAACGAGGCCTAAAACCGGTTGTTTTTTCTCCTTCAATGGACTGTAAGGTGGTTTAGTCTAATGAGATGCCACACCAGCCACAAGGAGAGGTAGATCGGACTATGTAATTCAATAACGCTGGAAAGCACACGTGAGACGTCCGGGCGGCCAGACGCTTCATTTGGTGGGCCTCGACGCCCACTTGAACGGCCCAACGTCCTCACCCAACTAGCCAACTCGAGTTGCTAAACAAACGATACTCTCTGCTCTCCCGTCTCCATTCTCGAACCCATCCAACCGTGCCATCAAGGCCAGATCTTGTGGCGTGCGTACCATATCTGATCGCGTCGCTGCCGCCGCTTATGACGTCTTTGCCATCATGACAGCGTCGCCAGCGCCAAGCCGCCGCCATGCTGCTCTCCCCCGTGCCCGCAGGACACATTGCCGCCTCGCCGCGTGAGGCCACACCTGCTTGACCATCTCCACTGCAGGTGCCGCTCGCCAGAGGCCGCGCAGCCGCCCGCCCGCTGCCATCCTCCTTCTCCACTATGACCACATAGCCGGATCCCGCTGTGCAGTGCTCCGTCCGTCCGCCGACCAGGTTTTCCTGAAAGCGCATGTTGCAAATGTATGTTTTAAGTGTTTTAGATGTTTCAGAGGTATGTTGCAAATGTTTCATATGGATGTTGCAGAAGTAGATTGAGATGTTGCATATGTTGCAAGCGCATGTTAAAATGTTTCATCAATTTTTTTTTCAGAAGTATGTTGCAAGTGCGTTTATTTGGATGTTGCGTATGTTTGATATATATGTTCCAAGTGTTTTATCTTATTAGAGTTTGTTATCATGAATCTAAACTAACGAGCCTGGACTTGTGCGGTGCATGAGATTGGAGGTTGTTAAGGTTTGTTGGTGAATCTTCTAGAGATCATATCTTGTGTAACAACCTAACAGCTGAGACCTATCCATGCACCGGCTCTCCTGACTCGTTCCTATGTAAAAGGCCACGCAAGGGGTTGTTCCTTGTCAAGTATTAACATGCACACGCCAAGCCCGACGACCTCTGGCGTTCCACCAAGCTTCTAGCGCCTCTGAATCTTCACATGGTATCAGAGCCTAGGCTTCGACCATCATGTCGACAAGATCAAGCGCCGCCGCCAACCAAAATCCATTCTTCGGCATCACCATCACCGAGAAGCTCGGCAAGACCAACCATGCGCTATGGAAGGCACAGTGCTCTCCGCCATCCAGCGGTGCGCGCGCTTTGAAGGACACATCACCGGCAAGACCCCTGGCGCCGCGATCGAAGCTTGAGCAGAGCGGCCACCGCGCGCCGTCACCAAGAAGCCGAACCAGTAGATGAGGATCGGTATGCAAACGACCACCGGTGGTCCTCGGTCTCCTCTTCACCACGATCGGGAAGGAGGCGTTTGCCGGATCGTGGCATGCACCACGGCGGCGCAGCAGCATGGAGCGAGCTGGAGAAGATGTTCTCCGCCCAAACCCGTCAAGCGAAGACCATGAACGTGAGGCTTGCTCTCACAACTACGAAGAAAGGTAACATGTCTATGGCGATTATTTTGCCAAGATGCGTGGCTATCAGATGAACCGCTGGCGGCCGCGGCAAGAAGATGGATGATGAGGAATCGGCGACACACATCGCAGCAACGGCCTTGATGCGGAGTACAATCCAATGTGGTGACTTCATCCACCGCTAAGACCGAGGCGATCACCGTCTCCGAGCTCTCACGCTGCAACCGCTCAACTCTGAGACTCGTCTTGAACTTCAAGACGGCGGCGGCTCTCATCAACGTTGCCAAGAAGACGCGCTGGCTCCGACAACGGCTCCCAAAGAATCGCCTCTCAACCTCGGCCGGGTCGTGGCTAGGGGCGCGGCCGTGGCCAAGGGCGCGGTCGTGGCACTGGGTTCCAGCCGCGTCAGCAACAGCGCTCCGGAGGGGCGCCACAATCTGGGGCGGGTGGCTCAGATGCACCCGTCTGCCAGGTCTGCT